TCTCTTTTGGTGCTGCGCGGCTACTACTAGTCTCGTGACGTGGCTTTTTATTGGCAAGATGATTGGTCTGCGTGCTGTTATCGGCAGGCAATAAGCCGCGTCTATCCTCCCATAAACCCTTAATAAACCCTTTTCATCTAAGTATGGTGTCAGTTGATAAATACTGGAACTTTTTGGCAACGGTGACTTCTTTCGCAGCAAATCGATTTCATGTTGATACGCTTCTTTTTGCACCATGCGGCATATACGCTCCTCGGCGGCGGCTAGTTCGTCGACATGTAGTTCGCCATCACTACGGTCTTTGCTCCTGGTGTTGTTGACAAATCGCAACACCCAGGCTATGGCTCTGACTAATTTGAGAAGGGATGAAAATCTGGTAAGTTTGATCAATGGCTCACCCGTGTTGCACAGAAGCAGGTGTCGACTAGTGATCTCCTCGTTGGCACAGTCGTCGGACGTCAAAATTGTTTCTCGAGGCCAGCATTCCTCGTCCTGGTGTAAAAATTGTGGTCCACTAAACCAGCGGGAGTGTGACGAGAACTCGGGTTTCAGCATGGCGCGAGTAGCTTCGTCTGCGACGTTTAGGTTCGTAGGCACCCATCGCCACTGATTAGTTGTCGTTGTAGTTAGGATCTCTGCGATCCGATGTGCTACGAACGGTTTGTACGTTCGCGCGTGTGAACGTATCCACAGAATAACCGTCTGCGAGTCGCTCCAAAAAGTGATGCTGTCGATGGGAATGCCGTGACCTTCTTCCACCAGTGTTTTGATACGACATCCGAGGACTGCAGCTTGTAGTTCCAACCTTGGAACCGTCATTGTTTTAAGTGGCGCGCAAGTTGCTTTGGCGCAAACGAGAGTTACCTTCACTGCATGTTCCTTTTTTACTCTCAAGTACGCGGCTGCTGCGTATGCACGTGTGCTGGCATCGACGAAAATGTGTAGTTGGATGCTGTCAGCGGTCGGTATCAAACCCGAGTAACAGCGTGGTATTGAAAACGATTTTACTGACTGAAAGTTCGACCACCAAGACTCCCACTGTGCTGCTAAATGTATCGGCAGCTCTTCATCCCAGGCGATGCTTTGTTTCCACAAGGCCTGAATAAGTAATTTGGCGGAAATTGTTACGTTGGCAAGTAGTCCGAAGGGATCGTATATGGACATCACGATTCCCAACAGCTCCCTTTTAGTGGGTAGTCGCTTACACTGCAGAATGTCGCTGGATATTTTAAAAAATTTAAAATGGAATTCAAATGTGTCTGTGGATGTGTTCCAAAACATCCCAAGGATTTTATCGGCGCTGGCTTGTCGTTCCAGGTTGATGACTGTAGACG